GCCACCCCAGGGGGGGGGACACTGGCAGTGGGGGGGACGGCCACCCCCACAGCTGTGCCAAGCCCTGCTGAGGCACCCATGGGTGCCCACCACTGCTAGGGGTGTCTCAGAGTCGAATCCCCCCCCCAAGAAGCATTTAAGGATCCTCTGAAAACACACAGACACCCCCCCAGCTCCTGGGGGCTCACCATCCCACAGACACGGACCCCCCCAGCTGCTGGGGGCTCACCATCCCACCAACACGGACCCCCCTCCAGCTGCTGGGGGCTCACCATCCCACCAACACGGACCCCCCTCCAGCTGCTGGGGGCTCACCATCCCACCAACACGGACCCCCCTCCAGCTGCTGGGGGCTCACCATCCCACCAACACGGACCCCCCTCCAGCTGCTGGGGGCTCACCATCCCACCAACACGGACCCCCCTCCAGCTGCTGGGGGCTCACCATCCCACCAACACGGACCCCCCTCCAGCTGCTGGGGGCTCACCATCCCACCAACACGGACCCCCCTCCAGCTGCTGGGGGCTCACCATCCCACCAACACGGACCCCCCTCCAGCTGCTGGGGGCTCACCATCCCACCGACAGACACTCCCCAGCTGCTGGGGGCTCACCATCCCACCGACATGGGTCCCCCCCCAGCTGCTGGGGGCTCACCATCCCACCGACACGGGTCCCCCCCCAGCTGCTGGGGGGCTCACCATCCCACAGACATGGGTCCCCCCACCAGTGCCGGGTCCACAGTCAAACCTACACACGCCCCCCCCCTCCGAGCCAAAATGTGATGCCAAACCTGGGCTGAGCAACCTGCAGAGAGCTCAGATGCCCCCCCAGGGCACATCCACCCCCTGGATGCAAACACCCACAGCACCCACCTGGCCGAGGGCACCCAAGGGGGACAGTGTCCCCACAGAGCACGGGTCCCCCCCCTGCCATCCATCAGAAGAACGTGTGTCCCCTGATACATCGGTGTATAAAAGAGATAGATCTTACACGTGGGAAGGAGGGGAAAACTCAGTTTGCCAATAAAAGCACGGGGGGGGGGGCACCGGGGGGAGAGGGCAGATCGCGGGTGCGAGGGGGTTTTTTGGGGGGGAAATCACCCTCCCTGACCCATCGACGCCGCTCAGAAGGGCCGGGAGGGGTGAAAAAAGACAGTCCCTGCCCCAAACTCCATCAACACCCGAGATAACTCACACACACCTCCCTGAAACAAAAAAAACCCAACATATATTGCATAGTATTGCTGTCAGCAGTCTTAAAATAAAAAAAGGAGAACTCCCCCACGACCACCACTCCCTGGAGATGGGGACTATCTTCAGCTGAAGACCTGGGGAAGTCTCTTCCCCACCTCCAAGCAAACTCCCAACGCTGTCACCTGCGCCCCACGGGGCTGCTTTTCCAAAATAGAAAGCCCAAAGCAATGGGTTCTGGAAGGGGCAGGGGGGGAAATGTCTGAGGAGGGGGACACCCTCCCTCCCGACTCACTGGCCTGGGGACAGCAGTGGGTACAGCTCGGTGGCACCATCCACAGCGGGGAGCGGAGGGTTGCTGCGTGGTTGGGGGGGGTTTGGGGAGCTGGAGACCCGGCGTGGGCACCACTCGCCCAGATGGACCCAGCCCCCCACGGCACAACCCGACCGAGGGTCTCATCCCCATCCAGCATCCCCCGTCCTTTCCCCACCCTCCCTTCCCCAAAGCGAGCTCAAGGGAAGGGATACGCACACGTGAACACACATGCACACGCGTGAACACACATGCACACGCGTGAACACTTGCCCATCAGACCCTTCATCACCCAAGGTGCTACTGCCTGGACCCCAAACCTTCCAGTCCCACATTCCTGCCCCGTAGCCCCTCAGGTGCCCCTGCCAACCCGTCCGCTTGCCCACCAGCATCGCTGGGGGACCCTTGGTGTCCCCCAACCCTCTGCCACGACAGCCTCGGGGCCAGCCCGAGGCCACGCCACCCATCACCAGGTGCCACCACTCTCCTGGTGGGGGGAGATGGGCTTTTGCTTTCCCTGCTATTCCCAGAAGAGTTTAGGGGGGGGTTTTTTTGGCTCCTCCAGCCACCCTGGAGACCTCACCCCCAACCTTGGACCTCCACGAGGGCACAGCCACCGGCGAGCAGCCCCTCTGAAAACAGGGGGGCAGCACCCAACCCTGCACGAGAGCATGGCCCATGTGTGACCCCCCCACCCCCCAGCTCTGACCTTACACCCAGGGAGCCGCCGGCCGCAGCGTGGGAGGAAAGGAAGACATTTCTCCGTGCCCTGTGGAGAAGCACAGCTAGCAGTTTAAAACCAACAATAATAACTAAAAAAAAAAAAAGAAAAAAAACCACCAAAAAACCCAAAAAAATAGGGGGGTGAATAGCTTACGGGTCCCCCCCCAGCTGCTGGGGGGCTCACCATCCCACAGACATGGGTCCCCCCACCAGTGCCGGGTCCACAGTCAAACCTACACACGCCCCCCCCCTCCGAGCCAAAATGTGATGCCAAACCTGGGCTGAGCAACCTGCAGAGAGCTCAGATGCCCCCCCAGGGCACATCCACCCCCTGGATGCAAACACCCACAGCACCCACCTGGCCGAGGGCACCCAAGGGGGACAGTGTCCCCACAGAGCACGGGTCCCCCCCCTGCCATCCATCAGAAGAACGTGTGTCCCCTGATACATCGGTGTATAAAAGAGATAGATCTTACACGTGGGAAGGAGGGGAAAACTCAGTTTGCCAATAAAAGCACGGGGGGGGGGCAAAAAAAAAATTTCAGAGATTTCATCCCCCCCGCCGTCCACTTCCCACCATCGTTTTTTCTTCTTTTCTTTAAAACAAACAAACAAACAAAAAAGAGAAACCAGGCTGCGGGTGCAGCATTACCGACAGCTCTCACAACACCAGCTCAAGGCATCGCGTACTGTACATCATTCAAGTAGTTCTTAATATAAGACAACAAGGAATTATCTACAACTGATAAAACAAAATAAGCTATAAAAAGTAACAATGTACAATCAAGATGGATTATTATTTTTTCTTTTTTTCCTCTTTTCCTTTAAAGGAGGCCTCTCCGGGGTGGCCCGGTGCCTGTGTGGGGAGGGTTCTCCCCTCCCCACCCCGTGCAATGGGGCTGGGGGCACCGGGGGGAGAGGGCAGATCGCGGGTGCGAGGGGGTTTTTTGGGGGGGAAATCACCCTCCCTGACCCATCGACACTGCTCAGAAGGGCCGGGAGGGGTGAGAAAAGACAGTCCCTGCCCCAAACTCCATCAACACCCGAGATAACTCACACACACCTCCCTGAAACAAAAAAACCCCAACATATATTGCATAGTATTGCTGTCAGCAGTCTTAAAATAAAAAAAGGAGAACTCCCCCACGACCACCACTCCCTGGAGATGGGGACTATCTTCAGCTGAAGACCTGGGGAAGTCTCTTCCCCACCTCCAAGCAAACTCCCAACGCTGTCACCTGCGCCCCACGGGGCTGCTTTTCCAAAATAGAAAGCCCAAAGCAATGGGTTCTGGAAGGGGCAGGGGGGGAAATGGCTGAGGAGGGGGACATCCTCCCTCCCGGCTCGCTGGCCTGGGGACAGCAGTGGGTACAGCTCGGTGGCACCATCCACAGCGGGGAGTGGAGGGTTGCTGCGTGGTTGGGGGGGGTTTGGGGGAGCTGGAGACCCGGCGTGGGCACCGCTTGCCCAGACAGACCCAACCCCACGTGGCACAACCCGACCGAGGGTCTCATCTCCATCCAGCATCCCCAGTCCTTTCCCCACCCTCCCTTCCCCAAAGCGAGCTCAAGGGAAGGGATACGCACACGTGAACACACATGCACACGCGTGAACACACATGCACACGCGTGAACACTTGCCCATCAGACCCTTCATCACCCAAGGTGCTACTGCCTGGACCCCAAACCTTCCAGTCCCACATTCCTGCCCCGTAGCCCCTCAGGTGCCCCTGCCAACCCGTCCGCTTGCCCACCAGCATCGCTGGGGGACCCTTGGTGTCCCCCAACCCTCTGCCACGACAGCCTCGGGGCCAGCCCGAGGCCACGCCACCCATCACCAGGTGCCACCACTCTCCTGGTGGGGGGAGATGGTCTTTTGCTTTCCCTGCTATTCCCAGAAGAGTTTAGGGGGGGGTTTTTTTGGCTCCTCCAGCCACCCTGGAGACCTCACCCCCAACCTTGGACCTCCACGAGGGCACAGCCACCGGCGAGCAGCCCCTCTGAAAACAGGGGTGCAGCACCCAACCCTGCACGAGAGCATGGCCCATGTGTGACCCCCCCACCCCCCAGCTCTGACCTTACACCCAGGGAGCCGCCGGCCGCAGCGTGGGAGGAAAGGAAGACATTTCTCCGTGCCCTGTGGAGAAGCACAGCTAGCAGTTTAAAACCAACAATAATAACTAAAAAAAAAAAAGAAAAAAAAACACCAAAAAAACCAAAAAAATAGGGGGGTGAATAGCTTATTCTGGAAACGGGCTGCCGAGGAGAGAGGGTGGGACGGGGCGCTGCTCCCTCGCTGGCACCGTCTCTCCCCGGCCCCAGCGGTTCCCTGCACAACACCCACCACGTCCCCCCCCAAAATGCTGCCGGGGACACCCCCGAGCATAGGACATGGGACGGAGGGGCTCCCCCGCGGCTGGGAGGCACCTCTCGGACCGCCCCCCACCAAGGACAGGACTGGGGGGAGGTTTTGTGGGATCTACCCCAACTTTCGGAGAAAGACCTGCAGCTCCGAGGGGAGGGGGGAGGTTAAAACGCGACTCCCGCTGTTGAAAACGCGACCGAGGGGCTTTTGTTCACAGTATGAAATGAGCTGAAATCGTCAAAAGCAGCCGCGGATACAAAGAGTCCTTTGGTGTCGGGGAGGGAGGGGGCAGAAAAATGTCAGAGGAGAAACCAAGAGTCGGGAAACAAAAGTCCGTGTGTCTGTCAGATGTCCTTGAGTGTGCCCTGGGTGAAGCAACCTCACGCTTGATTTAATACCTTAAAAAATAAAAAGATCTTAAACAAACCCTCCCACCCCCAGACCTACAAGATCAGCAAAACCTTGGAAACCAGCCACAGGGACGAGTCCTGATCTTGTCACTAGCATGAAATGGAGGGGGGGGCTTTGGGGTGGGGGGGGAAAGAAAGAAAGAAAGAAAAAGAAAGGAGGAGGAGGAGGGGGACATGGGGTACAGCAGGTCTGAGGGGCACAGCTCAGGCTTGGTCGGCCACCAGGACCAGCGGGGCCACCAGGTGCTGCCCGGCGGCCACCGCCTTGGCCAGGCTGCTCTTCTGCCGCCGCTTGGCCAGCTTGGACTCGGAGGGGGGGGAGAGCTGCATGGCCCGTGAGGTAGCTTTGATGATGATGGGTCGTGCTTCCTCCTCCGCCTCCTCCTCCTCGTCCTCGTCGCGCCGTGTCAGCTGGCGGTTGACGGCGATGGCCTCGGCAGCAAAGGAGGTGAGCTCTTTGGCACTGCTGTTCCTGCGGGGAGGGGGGGAGGCAGGGGCTCAGGGTGGGATGTGGAGAGGCTGGGGGGGGTCAAATATCAGGGTGTCCCTCCTTGTGTGCACACCGTGCCAGACCCACCAGGCACCAAAACCTGGGTTTGAACCCAAATCCTGCGCTGCAACCCCTGCCTGGGGGGCAAGAACGGCAGCAGAGCAGAGAGCAGCCCACTGGAGCCAGGACCTGGGGGGCTGGGACATGTCCCGTGTCCCCCCCCATCCCATCCCAGTGCCACCCACACTCACCTCTGCAGGATGATGGGGGTCGGCAGGGTGTTATCTGGGGCGCACTGCAACAAAAGGCAGCTGGTCAGAGCTGGGCACCCCCACAGGGGGGTGGTCACCTTGGCTTGGGGGAGAAAAGGGGGGGGTCAGCACTTACCCCCTGCGCCCAGGGGTGCTCCAGGACCTGGGCCGCGCTGAGCCGCTTCTTGGCATCTCTCACCAGCAGCTTGGAAATGAGGTCTTTGGCTCCGAAGGAGATGTGTGCCCAGTCCTTGTCGGGAAACTCATATTTCCCCTCCTGGATGCTCTCAAAAAGCATGTTCTGGGGTGGGAGGGGGGAAGAAATAAAAGGGGGTGAGCCAGGAGTGGTGCTGCCGAGTGTAGGGGGGGGGGGTTTGGGGATGCCGGGGGCCCCCACACACCTGGCAAGGGTGACACGCCTCGC